AACACACACACACACACACACACACACACACATACACACACACAAACACACACACACAAACATATTATTTTTGAGTTTGCTAAACTTGGTCTTGGCTCAGTATGTTCGAAACACAATGCACAGGGGTAATCACCACACCACATCGACACTGTTGATAAGCTGAATGAGTTGTGGCCTGTCGTTACAACTCATTTGCGGGTAGCGATAACCAGTAGTTGATATCCGCGTGGAATATTGATATACTTGAAAGGTTACTATATATACTTAATATTATCCCAATAACCCGAATATCTACTAGGAGATAATGGCGTGACTCTGCACCAATCTGTGATATCCCGAGGCCAATTCAAAGGATAACATTCGTAGTGTGTTGAAGTATGCCTGTCACACTCAGACGTGAATGGTTGTATCAAGGAGATAAAACAAAGAAACATACACGACACTGCAGCCGGTAGTTTGTGTTGTGACCTGAAAGACTCGCATCTAACTTGTAAGTTACCACTGCGCGTAATATTCAACAGTGTGGCTTCTTTATTTGTGCGGTGAAGCTACGAGCAGGAAGTGAACCAATACGTGTGTTGTCGGAAATACCGAGGGCCTCTCAATGACTGAGTAATTGCTTCGTACAGGATATTTCTGTTGTTGCTTATGGTTTTGTGATATTGTGATGTGATGGCTATAAACAAAAAGAGACCCGTCAAGAGCAAGGTGTCTCCTGCAACACAGAACAGCCCCTACGTCCACAGAGACGTAAGACCTAGAAGAGTATCAGAAGACGTCGGGGGCAGTGACCGCGTCTCCATAGGAAGATGGGTCGCGTTGTTCGCTGTTGTGCTTGCCGTGACTGGCTGTTTGGTTTCTCCTGATGTCAGAAGAGTGCTAGTTCGTTTGCAAAAGACAGGGTTGGGAGAGATTTTTGCTGATGCCCATGACCCCAGTGTCAGAATAAGCAGCAATGAGAAGAGAGAAGCGAAGGAGGAGGAGGTCGTTGGTTGGTTAGATCCTGAGCCACCAGAGAATCTCTTGGATGACATCGAAGATGATGGTGGATGGCATGAAGATCAAGTAGACGAGGATGAGTTGACAATGGACGATTTTGAGGATGGAGTTATTGAGCCCGAAGACACTGAAGATTTAATGGAAGATGAGATAGTAGAGAAAGAACGAAGAGATGCTGAACGTCAGGAAAAGGAATACAAATTGAAAGCTGCAGGAAATTCTGCGAGCGATGGCAAAGGAAGGTCCTCGAAAGTGGCTGAGGAAAAGTCTGTTAAATCACCAAAAACCACGAGTGAAAGTGGCGATCCTCCCTTGGTACGTGGGCGGCCAGGGAGGGACAAGAATGCACCCCCACCTATTATACTGAGGCCAGGCGATACCCATATCAAGCTGGATGCGTCACAGATCAAATTTGTTGATTCCCCAGTAGAGACAAAAGACAAAAAACAGCCCAAATCTCAAGATTCTGCACATACTGCCAAGAAATCCAAATCTTCTGTAAAATCGGTAAACACAAAACCACCGGGAAAGAGTCCCGGCAGTGGCAAAGCAGAAGCTCCCGAGAAACCGGAGCACAATTCAAAAAGTTCGGCAAAGCAAACGAAAGAAAAAACAGCAATCAAGAGTCCCAGTGAGACTAAACAAGGAAATAAGGCAACAACAAAGCAAGCCAAAGAAAAAACAGCAATCAAGAGTCCCAGTGAGACTAAACAAGGAAATAAGGCAACAACAAAGCAAGCCAAAGAAAAAACAGCAATCAAGAGTCCCAGTGAGACTAAACAAGGAAATAAGGCAACAACAAAGCAAGCCAAAGAAAAAGCGAAAAGCGAAATTCCTGAGAGGCCTGGTGGGAACAAGAACGGACCTCCACCTATCGTTCTTAAACCAGGCGACAATACAATATTGGATACTTCACAAATAAAGTTTGTTGATTCGCCAGAAAAAGAAAAACCCATGAAATCCAAAGCTTCAAAAGTTTCTGCTAAAAAATCCACACCCTCGTCGAAATCCGCAAATAAAAAAAGCGCGGCAGAGAGTCCTGGCAAAAACAAAGATGAAACCCCTAAAACCGCTGCAAATGTTCCCTCAAGTTCAGAAGAACGAGCGAAAGAAAAAGTAGAAGCAAATAGTTCTGAAAACAGCAGAGAAAAACAGAAGCAAACAAATGTCGATAAAAGCGAGGCAAAAACCATTCCCAAAACAAGTAAGAGTAAGAGTGACGGTGTTGGAACTGCAAAGGAACATAAGCCCATCATTCTCAACGGCGAGAATGATAAGATTGTAATTGACCCTTCAACTTTGAAGCAGGTCAACCCCGAAGTTATTGAGCCGAGCAAAAGCAAAACAAAAACTTCGGACAAAAGCACGTCAATGAAGAAAGATTCAGCCAAAGTCAGTGCTAAGAAACAAGGCGATGGAAAAATCAAAGAAGATACTGACTCTAACAATGGTGTAAAAGAGAAGGTAAATAAATTTAGGGCCAAGTACCAGAAGACGATAACGCCGAAGAAAGTTTTTATTGATGGAAGAAGGATCCCCCCAACTGAACTGCTCCACCAGAAAGCAAGCAACAGCAGTGTTAAGTAAGTTAAGTAACCACTTACCTACCTACCTACCTACCTACCTACCTACCTACCTACCTACCTACCTACCTAC